TCCTTTGTTGGCTTGTTTTGCATATTGCTCAGTTCGTCGCTCTATGTTTTGTTGCACCCTCTCATGCAATTGCTTAACCACTTCAGCTTTCTTTTTTCCCATCCAAACTAGCTTGTTCGTCAATAGGTAAAGGCAATAAATCTAAAGGAGTGAGTGGATTAAAACCACACACAACTTCAAATGGCGAATAGTTAGTTGCTTAATAGACGCTCCGATTATAAGCAAATTCAACGTGTGGCAAACACTCTTCCCAGTTCTTCAAGTTCTTCTAAATAATAGAACGCAATAAGGTTGACAACATCTTATTAACCACTTTTGTTTGTTCATCAGTTTGTGGATAACAAGTAGTTGAAAGCAATAGCTTAGTTCCCAGCTTTCCCCACAATGTCTTCCAAAAGTAACTCAAGAACTTGACATCGCAATCAGAAACGATAGTCCTTGGAATGCCATGTAAACGAACAATGTCCTTGAAGAATAGATCCGCAATATTGGTTGCATTGTTAATTTTATGACATGGAATGAAGTCTGCCATCTTCGAGAACCTGTCAACAACAACAAAAATAGAATCGTGGCCTCTTTTTGACCTTGGTAAGCCCAAAACAAAATCCATAGCTACATCAACCCAAGGTTCAGTAGTTATGGGTAAAGGAGTATACAAACCATGTAATAAAACTCTAGATTTTGCTTGTTTACATGTTATGCACCTTTCACAGATCCTTTCAACATCACGTTTCATGTGTGGCCAAAAGAAGTGATCATTCAAAATATCTAAAGTTTTCCTAACTCCAAAATGTCCCATTAAGCCTCCCGCATGAGATTCCTTTACTAACAATTCTCTTAAGGAACAGTTAGGCACACATAATCGATTTTCTCTAAACAAGTACCCTTCATGCCTATAAAACTTATCAAAAGCAATCTTCTCACATGCATTAAACATGTTAGCAAAATCTGAATCATTAGCATATAATTCTTTAATGTGCTCAAAACCTAATAACTTTGCATTTAGGGTAGAGATAAGTGTGTACATACGAGATAATGCATCAGCCACAATGTTTTCCTTTCCTTGCTTATACTTGATCACATAAGGAAACGTCTCAAGGAATTCCACCCACTTAGCATGTCATCTATTCAACTTACCTTGTCCCTTCAGGTGCTTCAATGACTCATGATCAGTATGTATCACGAACTCCTTAGGCCAAAGATAATGCTGCCATGTCTCTAAAGCTCTTACCAATGCATACATCTCCTTGTCATAAGTAGGATAGTTAAGTGCTGCACCAGTCAATTTTTCACTAAAAAATGCAATAGGTCGCCGCCCTTGCATCAAAACAGCACCAATGCCAATACCTGATGCATCACATTCAATTTCAAAAGTTTTAGTAAAATCAGGTAAAGCAAGTAACAGTGCAGAAATTAAATTTTCCTTAATTAAATTGAAGGCATTCTCCTGTTCACTTTCCCACTTAAATCCAACACTTTTTTTCACAATTTCAAACAACGGTGCTGCAATTGTGCT